TGTGCGGCCTCTTTGCGCAGCCGGGAGAGTGGGGGGACGGGGGGTGGGGTGGGGCGAGACACTGTGTGGCAGCCCCCAGCCATCCGAGGTCGCAGCCACCTGGCCTGCGAGCGCCAGCCTGGGACAGTGGGATGGGCGGGGGCGCTGTCCTCGGGGACTGATCTTCGGCCTGAGCCGCCTGGGGGCAGCCAAGGGGTGGCCAGTTGCAGGCCGTCTGGGGGCACCACAGGACCCCGACTTGCGGCCTTAGAGGAGCTGAGGTCTACTGGCCAGGCTCTGACCGTCTTCCTGGGCCCAAGAGGCTTCAGCACCCCCTTCACCCCCACCAAGACTCTCCCTTTGTAAATTGTGGGCTCTCCAGAAGTGCTTTGGGGGCGAAAGGCTCTAAGCTACACCTAGTCCCGGCCCTCACAAGCCCCCCGGAGGCGGCGCTATCCTGAGGCTCCCGGGGCTTGGCAGGTGTTGATGCCAGACGGAACAGCCCCAGGCTTCCAGGTCGTGCTGTGTCCATTGTGTGGGGGTTGGACATAGTTACTGAACAAGCGGAAGCCCTCGGGAGCCTAGCTGTAGGCACCTCACCAGCTTCCGGTAGCTTTGTCCAACCGGGACGACTGGAGAGCCACGGTCTCCATCAGTTTGGAACACATTATGCTGCAGATGGCAAGATCCCCCTGGTCCATGCTTGAGTGGACTGGGGTTGTCGGTCTTCACACCAGGAAGCCCACAGGTGGGCAGTTGGTGTAGCTTCAGTGACAGCCCCACCAGGGCTGGTGGCGTAGGATATCCAGGTGGCAACGCTGCTGCTGCCGCTCCGGCCATCACGTCGAGGCTGGAAGGACGTGCTGCGCTGCTTCTCATGGAAGTAAAAGCCTTCCCATCCCCTGCCCCCAGCACCTTGCCCACATCTGAGTGACAAAGGCAGGCAGAGACCAGGGTATTAACTTTGACTTAACCCATGGCCGTCACTTGGGCCTGGCACATTGCTGCCTGGAACAGATAAAGATTCTGGCCACAGGAGGGAAGGGACAGCCGGTGAAGTAGGCGGCTGACAGCTGGCCCAGAGCCCCTTCTCCTGGACACACCCTGGGTGGGAAGAGCCCACACTCTACAAAGACTCGGCCTCCCGCAGGCCTACGAACTGGCCTGAGTGGCTGCCTCTGAGCAAGGGTCCCCACCCGAATGGCAGGCTTTGTGGCCTGGAGAGGCTCCCCATTCTCCTTGCTGGCCTGTGACTTGAAAGGGGCAAACATCAGGCGTGGCAGGGATTAAGAACTGCCTGGTTTTGTGACTTTCTGGGTTAGCTTCTTGCATCTAAATCGTCCACTGTGACTTTAAGCCTCTGTGTCAAAATTACCTGTGATCAAGGTCAGGGTTTCCCAGGCTGGTGGGGGCTGGGCCAAGTCTCAGCCCCTAGAAATGAGGGGCCTGCGGTTGCCTGCCTCCCCTGCCCCCGGCCCCCCAGCAGGCGCTGGCTCCGCTCGGGCAGTGGGAGGCGGGGTGTTGGGACTGCAATGCCAACAGGCCAAAGGACACAGCTGCCGTCGCCCTGGCCGGCCAGGCGTCCTCCCCCAGCGGTACAGGCCGTGCCAGCCTCCGTCCCCTCCCTTCCCTCCTCAGCCTCCAGAGATGGCCCTGGGCCTTATCTGTCAGGAATGGGGAAGAAGGAAGGCAGTTACCAGGCTCTGTCGCTGTGGCCCCAGCTGAAGACCCAGGGTGTCCTGAGCAGCTGGGTAGGCCCGCAGGGAGCCGGCTGGGGCACACTCGGCCCCTCACATTCCTGAGGGCAGGGTCCTTGGACTTTCAGACCCCTGAGTTGGAATTCCCACGTGACCCTGGGCAAGTGTCTGAACAACTCCCGTACAGCAGGTGGGAAGGTGTGGGTACAGGAGCCGGCTCACCTCGAGCCTGCCGCCTTCCCTACCGCCCCGCTGGACCCCAGGCCGACCCTCACCCTGAAAACATCTCTCCCCATCACTGTCCTCCCCAGGGCCGAGTTCTGCCGTGAAGTCAGTCCCAAACGCCTGTCCTGGTCTTCCCGCCCCTGAAGGCCTCAGCCGGCCCTTTGCCCACGCACCCTCCCAGCCCCCAGCATGCAGCCCCCCGAAAGCGGCGTCCAGTACAGCAGGTGGGACGGCAGCAGCTGGGATGAAGTCAGCGTGGCAGCCGTGTCCAGCACAGGGGAGGCCTCGAGCTGGAAGAGGTGAGGACCAGCCCACCTGCACCCCCAGGCCGGTCAGACCCTACGCAAGCCTTGTCGCTCTTGCTGGCCGTGGCTCCACGCCGGCTGGGTGCCCACCCCAGCAGTCCGAGCAGACCTGGGCCCTCCGCCTCCACGTGCGTCTCCCTCGCTGGGCTCCGTCCCATCTCCCAAGTCCAGCAGAGCGCCCTGGCCACCCTCCTTAGGGCCCCCTCCTCCAGGGCCTGCCCGAGTCTCATGGGCTGGTGCTTCTCACCCTAGGCTCTCCCAGAAGCTGTGCTCCGGCAAACTGGGCACCGCCATGAAGCTGCTGGGCGGGGTGGCGCTCTTCTGGACCGTCTTCATCCTGGGCTACGTCACCGGCTACTTCGTGCACAAATGCAAATGAGTGCTGGCTGCTCGCGATTGGGGGCACGGGCCGGGAGGGACCCCCGTGTATGAGAACCCTGCCATATACATGGACCCCGTATACACAGACTTCCCTCTGTATGCTCAGCTTTTTCCTAGTCACAGACTCCCTGCCCCACGCAAAGACCCCAGGGGCAGACCCAGCACACAGGACACATACAGATGCCAGTGTGCACGGCTGTCACAGGCCTCTGCATGGGTGCACAGGCAGCTAGGGACGCAGATACACAAGGACACACGTGGAGCCACCCAGGGGCACACGGAACCTGGTGAGCTGGGCTGCAGCGCACACCCAAGCTGGGCCTGCAGGCCAGGGCCCCGGCACGTGGGGTGGTCATCCTCCCTGCTGCTGGGGGCTCAGGCCTGGCTGCCCGAGGCCGGGGTCCTCCCTGGGCCCTCTGCCAGCGCTGCGCATGGCTGTGCGTGTCCCTCTGCTTTCCGGGGTTGAGCTGCGTGTGTCTCTCTCGGGTTGAGACCCGCCCCAGAAGACGTTCCCCAGGCAGAACACGGAGCGGGACCTTGGCCCTCGTCCTGGCCCCTCCACTGTGTCTTTCCTTCATCGATGCGTCCGTGACGGTCCCTGGGCTGTGTGCCTCGTGGGGCGGGCCCTGTGGGAGGATGAGGGCCTACATGTGGCCGTTAAACATTGATGGAATGAAGGACAGGTGATGGCCTCGCTATGGTCCCTGGCCAGGTGCAACTTGGTGCCTCCTGATGTGAGGCCAGCTGGAGGCCAGCTGCAGGGCATGTGGACAGCAGCCAAGAGGCCTGTGAGGAGGGCCTGGCCCTTCCCACTTGGCTCTGGGCCTTGGAATGTGACCCATCCTGGCCGGGTCCCCCAGCGGGAAGCAAGAGCACAGGAACAGGCTTGCGGGCCAAGACGTGGCCAGTCCTGTTCCTCTCTCAGCTGACCATGGACAGGCCTCAGTCCCCTCCTGGGCCTAGGCTCAGCTCTCGCCCGCTGCAAACTCACATCTTCGGCCTCACAGACCCCTCCCAGAAACGTCTCAGGAAAGGAATCCTCGTCCCGGGGCTGAGGGTGCAGATGAGGGACAGTCACTTCCTTGGCTCTGAGATGGAGGCCACCTGGCAAGTTCCGGATGTTGGGCTGAGCTGGCTGGAAGGGCAGGACCCCACAGGCCCTGTCTGTGGGGCAGCAGGCCCACTTGAGGTCTACCCCAGGGCCAGGTGACGTCAGGGAGGGGTCCCGGCCACCCCTGCACCCCACCCCTCCCTGACAGCTGAGAACACCCTGCAGGCTCCAGGGCCACCGTCCTGAGCAGCCCGCAGCAGGAGTGCGTCTGCTGGTGGACAGGTCAGAGGTGACCGGCCTGGCGAAGGGCCGAGTACAGTGGGGAGGTGGACGGGGCTGGGAGGAGCACGACCTGGGGCTAGGTGGAGGGTGGCCGCTGAGCCGGGTCCAGCAGCGCAGGGGACGCCCCCAGCCCTCACACACTCCTCTCCCCGGAGTCACGGGAGCCCGCGGGCAGCAGCAGAGGGCAGAGGCCAAGTCCGGGGCCCAGCTGGATCTGGTCATGCCTTGTGCGCCTTGCAGACCAGCAGGTCTCAGGTGGGAAGAGCTGGGTGCCCAGCCTGCCCCGGTGGATGTGCAGTGTCCGTTGCATGGGCTCCATGTGCCCCCCCGCCCAGTCTGAGGTGGAGAAAGGCGCGTGCTCCCTTCCTGAGACATGACCCCTCTGGGGCCCCAGCGGTGTGTACCCGGAACAGCGTCCTCACAGCGCTGGGAGGGGCTGGGGGAGGACGGGGCAGGACCCTGCTGAGTCGCCACCCAGGCTGCTTCCCAAAGATTCGAGAATGGGATGGTCCACTGGCGATGGGTCCCAGTGACGTGACTCCCCTGTGTGCCCCTGGGGGCGGGGCCACCCGCTGCTCCGGCCACGGGATGGGGCAGGAAGCTGGTTCCTAGGCTGCCGGGGTCAAGGGCTTCCTTGGCGTGGCCTGTGCTTAGAGGTCAAGTGCCTCATGCTCTTCACCGACAGGACCGAGCAGGGATGGCAGGGACCGCGGGTAGTCACTGAGCGGGTCCCAGGTCCGTGTCTCCACAGACGCCTGCCACACCCACGTCCAGAAACACCACAGGACAGCATTCACTGGGAGGAGCCGGTGCTCTTCCTAAAATGTTTTTATTGGAGGGTCGGATTGGCAGAGAACGTCAGAGGCTTTGCCGTACGTGACACACGGCTCTACTCTCACGTGGTCAAGCTGCATCAGAAATGAGTGCAGCATGTGCTGGTGGCTTCGTCACGGAGACTGCGCATGTGACGACGTAGCTACTGAACCAAGCCCCAGGAGCCCAGAGGGCAGCTCGGCCCTGGCTCCCTGGGGCCTGGGGCTCCTAGACCCCACACCGGCCACAGCGCCAGCAGCCTTGATGGCCCAAGGGACATGAAATCAGCAGGGACACCCACACAGACAGTAGGTAAGTTTTGGGGGGAACAGAGCGGAAGGAAAGATTCATCGGGCATGCCCGCTTCAGCCCAGGGACAACGGGACGGCTTGGTAGCGACCGGAGAGCCAGGTGGGTCCAGGGCAGCCTGTCACGGCCTCCTGAGCAGGCTGGCTGAGCTCTGGGGAGTCGCGTGCCACCGATGAGGGGTGGGTCTTAGCTCGCGCATGTCTGCTTCTGGAGGCTAAACGCATGGGTTCAGTGGGGCCCTAAGAAACACTCCCCCAAAAAGGCAAAACACACAAGTGTCTTTTACAGACAGATCAGAGACCACAGAACGAACGGTGGAGTCGGTTTGTCGTCCTCCAGTCCGACCGGAAAGCAGTGAGGTCAGTAAGGAGCACCAACACCGCAGCTGGCTGCAGGCTGGGGCGCCCACGTGTGCCCACACGCAGCGAACACGTGCACACGGCAGACGGCCCGAGCCACTCACAGCGGAGACCCCTGTGCACAGCGGACAGCGCGGCAGGCACGTTCGTCCCGCACACGCCTTAGGGTGCTGGGCTCCGCCTCAGGCCTCCTACGCTCCCCGCCACCGTCCCCACTTTGGCTGCCGATGGCTGTCGACGTGCAGGTGGCGCCCGCACACCGCCCCAGCCCCCAGCTGTTCATCCCCACGGTGCTCGCTCACGCAATTCCGAAAGCCCACCGCTCACCGCCCAGCCGGGCCGGACAGACAGGGCTGCTAGAAGGCTCTGTGCGCCTCCGCCCCCTCAGCATCCCACAGCAACGTTAGGAAATTTACTGAAAACTGGTTTTTAATAGGACTCTGATTCACCGCACACGCCTAAGCTGCCCTCTGGCATGGTGTGACCGTAAAAGATGCCACCTTCCACGAATGCCTGCTGCTGGCATCTCGGCCTGGAACCGAGCATTCGACCAGCCAGTGTCGCCTTCTGCAGACGCAGCTCCTGGCTGTGTCTACGTGACTCCAGAACACCCGGACAGCTAATCCGCCATTTGGACAACTTCGTAAAAAGCCTTAGTAAAAACCGCAGAGACAGGACAATTTAAGCACATGACAAAGTGGCACACCCCACGACAGAACCTTTTGGAGACTGACCAAAGAATGCAGGTATCTTAGAAAATGCCGAGGTAAAAACGCAATGAATAATTTAACACCCCACACGAGCCCTGCAGGAGAGGCCGAGCGAACGGACGTCTGTGGCCGGCTCTGGCTGCGGCTGGCTGCTCAGCGGGCCACGGCCACGTGGGCAGCGGCGAAGTCCAGGTCCGTCTTGGACGGGTACACGACCTTCAGGTGCCCCTCCTCGTCCACCACCCGGACCTGCTCCACCACCAGCTGGCAGTCCCCGCCCTTCTCGGCACTGGGATCGGACAGCTGTCCGGAGGGGGCCTCGGCTTCCGCATCTGAGAGCGAGCCCTCCTCTCTGTTTTCTAGTGTGTACTTGTTGATTTCTGCCATTTTCTGCAAATGGAAAACATTTTTGTAACCCAGGGATTCGAGGCGACCCAGGCAGGAAGCCCCCGTGGCTGGCGGGAGCCCGGGGCACGCTCTGCCCCCATGGCTGGTCGCCGGCAGGCGCCGTGGGCTTGCTCACCAGAATGAGGGCATCCATGGCATCTTTGCAGATCTGCAGACTCGTTGCACTCGTCACTTCCAAAAACAGGTCAGAAGTGGTTTTCTTAATCTTGAAAAGAAACCAGCGAGATTTCAGAAAAAGGAGTTATCCAAAGTAGGCACCAGCAAAACCAACTATAATCTGAAGAAAACCCAATAAAACAGTGTCACACAGCCCAGGGTGTCACCCGCCTATGGACAGACACACACTGGAATGCTGGGCACAGGGGACAGGGCAGTGCCGGGGCAGAGGGATGGCCGCTGTGGCCGCTGCACTAACAGCCTCGGACGCCGCCCACCTTCGTCTTCTCGCTGTTGGTTATCGGTGGGAAAGAAATGACGTCGCCGTCTGCGTCCACGAGGCAGGGGTACCGCTCTTTACCGTCCAGTAAGTGAAGGTACCTGGGGGAGAAACACCAGTTACAGGTGCAGCTCACACCTGACAGGTGACAAGGCAAAGCTCATCAGGCCAGGTAAGCGTAGGGTCAAGGGCATGTGTCATGAGCTCGGGTACAAAGCGTCCCGAAGCCCTTGTCCACATGGGTAGCAGCGGGGCTATGGCAGGGAGGTCTGAGGACCTTCACCTGCCACGTCCCCAGCTGCGAGAGATGAGGGTAAACGCTGTGGGTCTGGCCACTTCCTCCCAGGGCTGGTGGGCGACGCGGCTCCCTCCTGTCTCCGTGTCCTTGGTGCTTGTCCCGAGGGCTACCCTCCTGTGACGTGACACAGGACTGCACTCCGAGCACTGGCTCTCGGAAGTGGCTTCACCTCCCTGACGTGTCCACAAGACACTGGTGAACGCTATTTCCTACCTGCCCACGCGAGAATCCCTGGCAGTAAAGTGAATGAGCTTTGGGGGGATTCCCCAAGTTTTGGCAACGTTAGGAGTTTCCTGAACAGCAAAGTTAATGACGCGGAGGACGGTGTGCCGGGCCGTCCTTGTACCCCATGGGCCTGCAGCGCCCGGAGCCCCCCTGCCCCTTGGAGCCTGGCTGCCAGCAGCGCCCCTGCGTGCCAGCCCGCTGACCTGTGCAGGCCGGAGACGGTCTGCCGCTTCCTCTGCTTCCGGTGCTCCTCGGCCTCCAGCTGCAGCTGCCGCACCAGGTCCTTGGCTTTGACCTCCCTGCGCCCCAGGGGGACGAGCTACGAGGTAGAAGCCTCAGGTCAGCTCACAGGAACTCGCGGCCACAAACCACACCTGTCCTCCTGTTCAACCTGGCTTTAAGCGCCAACAATGCCTCTCAACTCTCTCCTCCACTGACCTCCACGACAGCGAGCGGTGACAACCATCCTAGAGCTGACGACTGCCCTGCCCTCCGCACCACATGAGGTCACACTGTGCCTTGAGGTCACTTCAGGAACCTGAATGCCCAAATTCTTGACTCCTTTTGAAAAGGAGCTGAACCGTGAACCCCCACCCCCTCCCACAGCTGCGTTTCTGGGGCTGCAGACCCTGGACGGCTGAGGAGACACACAGCGTGGGCGTGCAGCTCACACCCAGGTCACACTCAGGCTGCCCGGGGCCTCGGGGCACCGGACAGAGTTTAGCAGACGTGGAGCTGGCCTGCGACAGCAACTCACTCTCAAGGTGGCCCCAAATCGGGGGTTTTGCAACTGGGATGCAGACTGTAGTTTTGGTTCAAAGTTTAGTGAGCAAATGAAAAAAAAGCTCTTTCAAGCTAAGACCTCCCTTGAGGAATTTTCTCTGCAAAGCAGCTGTGAACACGGCCTGCCTCCTACCCTGGGTACTTGCTGGGAGCGGTGTCTGATTCTGCCTTAGAATGCTCGGATGCCATCTCTAGCATGTGGCCTTTGTCAAAGCCACTGAGGAGCATCTCCCACCGTGAGCCCAAGAGGGACACTGCGTCACCTTGAGGTCCTGCGGCGGGCGGCCGGTGTACAGCAGAGGCCCCCGGATGGCCGCGCGGTCGTGGGTCGCGATGGTGGCCACGGTTCTCTTCTCACAGAGGTCCTCGTGGAGCTTCGTCTGCAGCACGAGGGCGGAGGCCGGCAGAGCTCAGCGTGACTCCGAGGCCCAGCCCGCCGCGGGTCACCGCTGCCACCCTGCTGCCCACCTTCTCTGCCTCCCCCGCCCAACGTTCGCTTCGTGAAACCATCCTCGGAAAACTACCTGTTTATCGGCAGAACTTTCTTTGCCTAGCACTTTCTAGAACACAACACCTGAGACTTTCAGGAACCCATCTTAAAGTAAGTCACGACTGAGTTAGCAAAAGCATGACTTAGAATGTTTCCTCCGAAACTTGATTTCTGAGTTCTAAACTCCTGGCTCACGTGCTTTTGTCCTCTCCCTGACCTCAGGAGGGTTCCCTAAGACGCAATGTGTGAACCTGCAAAGCCCCTTCTGTCTCACAGGGCCACACTCGTGTCCTCCTCACGTCAGAAAGGGGCTTTTGTATTAACACACGGGCAGACTGCACAGGAAGAAGCAAATCAGGCACTCGGTCTGGCCAAGACCTGAAGGGGGGACACAAGGCCCATGAGCACGCGCCGGCCAGAGCTGCCGCCTTCGACTCCATCTGAGGTGGAACTGAACTCATCGTTCGGCACAGAAACCAGGAGGTTCTCCGCGTCAGGCACTCCGGGCGCACTGGTCACCCCCGCGACCAAGCTGTCCTCAGGAGCGCGGCTGCCCGGAGCCGTGGGTGGGGGCAGGGAGGCGCCCAGGGTGCCCCGACGTGCGCGTGCGCTCGGCTGCCCCACGGCCTGAGGCCCAGGGCGACACGCACACACAGAGGGCCCACGTCCGTCCTGCCACACGTCACCCGCCCACACGGGCCGCGGGCACTCACCTGAGAGGTGAGGAAGCGCCTGAGCGCATTCCCGGCCTGCAGGTCCATGCCCCTCACGACGGCTCCCACGAAGAACGGCCGGACGTCCTTGACCTCGGGGCTCGCCGTGACGGTCAGCGGGGCGGGGTTCTCGGACACGTGCAGGACGCGGAGCAGCAGCCGGCCAGCGCCGTCCACCGCGTCGCCCTCGCCCTCGCCCTCGCCGCCCTCCCTCCTCCTCCGCTCCCTCCTCCTCCGGCGGCTGTCGTCCTTCTCGGCGTCGGCCCGGCCCCGGCCGCGCCCGCCCCCTCGGCCCCCGACGCGCAGGTACTCCAGGATGGACTTGGTCTGGCAGCCGCTGACCATCTTCTCCAGGCGCTTGTCCTTGAGCTTGTTCCCGCGGAGGTTGATCTCCTTGAGCTTGGGGCAGTCGGCCAGCGCCGCGGGGACCTCGCTCAGCTGGTTGTTGGACAGGTCCAGCGTCTGGAAGGGACACAGGGAACACATGAGGCTCCCGGACTCTGGCCACTCGGGGACGGGGGAGGGCCACATCGGTCCTGCCGCCCGCTGCCATGGCCCGGTACTCCCGGCGCCTCCCTCCCAGCTCCGTGCTGGCGCCGGTCTGAGCGGCCATCACCGATCACCTGCATCAAATACCTGTCGTAACCACAGCCTCTGGCAGCGACTGCAGCAGCATTCCAGACAGACAGACAGACAGACAGCTCAGAGGCGCAGGGGACAGGGACGAGGGGAGTGAGTGGTCTGGTCACTGACAAGTAAGTGCTTTAGATGAGACACGGGCGCCCCACAACGCGGGGCTAAGGTCTGCTGAGGACACGCGCCAAGCCGCACACGGCGAGAGCAGCGCAGCACCCGCCACGTGGAGCCTGAGCCGCCAGCCCAGCGGTGCCCAGCGCGCACACAGCTGCAGTGCGTGGACGACGGGGCGGGCCTGCCTGCTGGGACCCGGGGACCGCACTGCGAGGCCCGGGAAACCCCATGGCCCGAGCGGAAGAACCTTCTCTCTGCATTACTGATCGGACTCAGACAAAACAACAGAAACGAGCAAAGCAGCCACCTTCCGCGGTCACAGGAAGCGACCTGAGTGGGGAGGGGCAGGAGCAGGGACACTAGGGAGTGGTCAGATTCCGGACACGGAAGGAACCACCTCCACAGCGGGTAGGGTCCTCACGCCCACTGCACGGTCTCCTGTGGAGGACAGGGCCCCCAGCCCCGCTCTCTTCCCAGCGTGACCGAGGGGCACTGCATGCGAGTGGCCTTCTCCCCATCCCCTCCAGGGCCGGTGGGAAGGCAGGGCTGGCCTCGCCTGGCACCGCTGAGGCCTGACTCGGCACTCGGGGGCAAAAGGACAGCCTCAGCTTCAGGAGAAACCCTCTTCTCTGGTTTGGTTGCTGACCACAGGGGCAGCAAGGGACTCCCCACGGCTTCAGCTCAGGTTGGTCCCGAGGAGAGCTTTGCCTCAGCCTCTTGCCGGTCTGGACCACGCCCGAGTCCCAGCGAGACCCGGCGGCAGCTCCCGCATGCGCATTCACAGCAAAGCACACTCAGTCTGAGTGTGAGTGGCCGGGGATGAGTCGCTCCTGGTTGGGTGTGACAGGCCAGCAGGTGGACCACAACGGGTGAGACTGTATCAGGACCTGAGGCGGCGCGGGGGCTCTGACCACTCGGAAGCGGCCGTCTGCTTCGGCCGGCGTACAGGACACGGTCAATGGAATTTCACAGACCCGAGACAGGAAGGATTCGAACGGAGGTCTGAGTCCTGTGACTCCAGCAGTCAGAGAACTGAGAACCAGGGTGGAGTGCTGTCACCGGCGTGAGCCACCGAAGGCAGAGCCAGGACCTGAAGGAGGGAGGGCCACCTGCAGAGGTGTCCGCCTTGCCACCAGAGCAGGACTGAGGGAGGAAAAGGGCGGGAAGCAAAGCAGGCAGCGTCTTGGCCTTCGGTCGCCGCCGGGAACCAAACAGCCTCAGGGGCCACTGAGTGGGGACCTGGGTCACACGGTTGTAGGGTTTCTTACAACTGCCACCATGCCGTGCCTCTCCAGGCCCTTCTCCTCGCTCAGTGGGGGCTGGACAGCGGGGGGGAGGATGGACTGTACCCCGGGGCAGGTGACCCCCCCACCAAGAGGCGGAGCCTGTGTCCCACCTGGAACCTGGCTGTCCCCTAACGCCCGTTCCTCGCCCGCAGTGAGGGCAGCTGCAGGGCTCGGAGCCCAGGTGTGCAGCCGGCACGCCACCCTCTCGGAGGCCGCCTGTAGTGTTATTAGGAGCCGGGGCTGGAGGGTGCGGCCAGCTGGGCCACCTAGACCAGAAGTGGCTACGTGCACGCGCGCCTAGAATGCGTCCGCCCGCAGGGTGGAGCGGCAGCGAAGGGCTGGTGTCGCAAGGTCAGGCCTGGATGCTCTGTGCGCGGCTCCACCTGCACGCGCTGTCCAAAGGGGCCCTGGCTGCACAGCCTGGGAACTCGGCACAGAGTGCAGGCGGGGCAGGAGGCAGGAGGCCAGCGGTGACCTTCTCGCAGGAGAAGCACTCCGACCCCAAAGGGCATGACGCCCAGGGGGTCACTCACAAGGCAACTGCACTAGGAATGGCCCCCGGGCACCCGCCCAGAGCTGACACACAGAGGACGCCATCTGCTCCTTTAACACAGACGGCGACACCAGCGAAGCAGAGCCAGTCTCCAACCCCGGACTGTGACGCCAGCGGCCTCCCGGGGACCGGGGACGTCGCTTCTGCGTGGGACACACTGCTGGGGACAGGTGCTACATTTCTGGGTGTGTGAGCCTGAGACGAACCCCCTGCCTCTGGAGGTGGGTACGGACCATCCTTTTCTGGCGGGCGGCGGGCTGAGGGGACCTGGGCTGTGCCCCGCCACCTCCGGCAACAGCTGAGAAAGTAAAAACTGAGCAAGTATCTTTTTTTTGCTTTAGTTTCTCTCGTTACTGGACAACAGTTTTCACCTTTGAAGTTTGATCTCTCTGTGAAACCCGACCGCGGAGAGGGCGTGTCCCACGTGTGAGCGACACTGGGTGACACGCGTGGGCTCGATTCCTGGCAGAAATGGGACCGATCTGGATGCTGTTCTCTCTCCAATAGGCTGTTCTGGCCCCTTTCAGAAGTTTGGGGGCACATCTGTCCTGTCTGCCTCTCCCTCCGTCAGTCCCTGATGGGCAGTGTCATGGGTCTGGGTGACAGTCGCTTAAAATACAGGGGACAGTGACACGAGAGTGCCACCCATCCTTGGCACACTGCAGCCCTGGCAGTGGAGCCCAGTGGCTAACAGAACCCCACGCAAGAACGCACACAACCCGAGAGAAGCCCACTCCACACTCTTACGTCTCCCAGGGGAGGCTGAGCTGAAGGGTCGAGGCCGGACAATGACGAAGCCAAGGCCACCAAAGGCAGAGGAAACCCACTGGCGAGGGACAGCCAGCCAAAGCGCAGCCACGTCTCCAGCTCCCTCATCCTGGGAGGCTGGAGTGGGGCGGGGTCGGGCCTTTACAGCTGCAAGGTCTGGGGCCACCACCTGGGTCCAGCTCCCTGGGGAGTATGCGCCGAGGCACCAGCATCTGCAGTCTCCCAGCTGTGAGAGGGAGAGAATAAGCAGAGGCCTGGGTGCTGCTTCTCTGGTGGCCCTGGGAACCACGTCCCCTGATACCCGCGCCCTTACGTGCCAGCACCCTACAGATCTGGACGGGGCTCGATCTACTTCCTCGATGCACGTGGTGGACGCGACAGGGGACTAGTCCCAGGCCCAGGCCTTCAGAAGGCCCGGTGGCCTCTGCCTTTGCTCCCTGAGGAGCCCGGGGCTGCTACATGAGAAGTCAGACGACGCTGCTGCGGACAGAAAGGTCCCAAGATGGCAGAGAGAAGCCCCGCCTCCCAGGATTCTGGCTGAGCGGCCCTGGGATCACTGCCAGCCGGACAGGCCACACAAGTGGCCCACGGCAGGGGCAGCGAGTGTCCAGCGACCCTGAATGGAGAACTGTCAGCACCCAAGACAGCTGCCGTTTTAAGCTATGAAGTCTTGAAGCTGTCGTGCAGCCGGGGACAACATGCACGGGCCCCGTCAGCTCTCTGCACGTGCACTGTGGAGCCTCCCGGGTCCCCAACGGCGAGCAGACCGGTGTCGGCACCCACGGCCCCCCCACGAGACACGGAGCTGGAACCCAGGCTGTCCGCTCTGAGCCTGGCTTTGTCCCCTCCAGACAGAACACTCTGCCCTCACAACCCAGCATATGCAGCAGCGCCACTCCACGGCTGCTCCTCATGGAGGCGCCACCTTAGGAAAGGCCCCCAAAGGACGTCTAAGCCCGAAAGGGGTTCCAAGTAGCTCCTGCGTGACACTCTCCAAGAAACAGGTCTCCTTACATGACAGAGCACCAACGGAGGCATGAAGATGGCGAACAGAATGGCCCAGGCAGGGGCTGAGCAAACGAGACCCTCTTTAATCCGAAAGAGGGGATTCGGGCCCACCAAGCACGACGGCCTCACCAGGCAGGTGCACAGAGCGTGGCGCGGCCACGGGTCGGAGCCACGGCCTCGAAAAGAGAGACAAAAAGCGACAGCACACTCGCGACACTGCATCAAGCTACACATCCGGTTTTTGCAACCTTCTGGAAAACCAAGAGATCTAGCCGACGGGAAGATGGAGTAGAAAGTGCTGTGCGTCACGTGTTATCCCTGAGCCCTACGCGGAGCCCGCAGCCCTGGATGGCCAAGGGGTCCCAGGGCTTCTTCCCGGTAATGCCAGCAAGCACGTGCCATTCTGGAGACTGATCTCATCTACTGCTCTCTCACACACACACGCACACACACGCGTACGCACACACCTTTACACATAAAGGTATTTGTAAAATGAGCTGGCGATATCTTAAGAGTAACGTCTGCTGCCAATAGATCATTTGCTAAATTGTATACACGTTTTACTAAGAAAAAGCTGCATAAAAAATAAAAAAAAAAAAAACACCACAGGTCCGCTTTTACAAGGGTGAAATAAAAAGAGAAGATGCAGGGGAAAGAACACTGGACAGGTGACCCTGAGACTTCCGTCCGCCCAGCTCTTGAACTCAGCAGATGTAATGGACACCTGCTATAAGCCAAGCATCACGCTGGGGCCTGGAGACCCAAGGTGAATAAAAGAGAGGATCCCGGACAAAGACCCAAACTATTTGCTGTTTACTCTGGGCGACCCCCTGCATCTATCTGTAAAACAGCTGTAACAACCCTACCTCGCGAAGCTGTTGAGGTGACAGGAAATGTCACATACGAAATCGCACCAGGTGGCATGACGTGAATCCCAGAGATTTCACATCCGCACGTTCTGTCTGGGCTCTTTCAGTCATTTCAGGAGTATTTGGAGATACAAACATCCAGACGTGGGCCCTGCCAGTTGACCACTGTGTCACGTGAAGCCCAGCTGTGAACAGTGCGGTGCGGGGTGAGAATGGCCCGGAACGCAGGCCAGGTTAGTGTGGGTGTGGTGGGGGGACCCGGGCTGAGGACGGCTTTCCAGACGCACGGACACTGGAGCTGACTCTTCCCGGCCCAGCACGAACTTCCCAGGCCCGGCGCCCCGGGGGACGTCCCCGGGGACAGCTCTGCACCGAGACTCCACTCTCCCGGCTACGACAGGGCCTCGCCCCGCCCGCGCCGGGTCGCCTCGCTTACCTTGAGCGAGGCCAAGTGGGCGATGTCGCCGCTGAGCTCTCGCAGGCAGTTGTCGGCGGCCGCCAGCTCGCTGAGCAGGGGCAGCGCGCCGGGGAGGAAGAGCTCTGCGGGGAAGGAGTCCATGGTTGAGGCTCTGCAGGCGCGGGGCGCAGCGCGCCAGGTCGGCGGGCAGCTCGCGCAGCCGGTTGCCGCTCAGGTTGAGGCTCTGCAGCTGCGGGAGGCCCGGCGGCTCGGCGG